TAATAATAAATCTCTATAAGGGCTTTATTATCTTATTTAACCTTAGATATAAATTATTAGAAAATTATAAAATAAGTAATATATAACTTATTTTAAGTTAAGTTATAAAGCTTAGTAGTAATTTATTATTCCTTATTAATAATTCTAAATATTTCTTTAATAGCTATTTTAAAGTTATTTTAATTAATAAAGATATTAGTAATTTCTTAATCTTAATTAGATTTATCTTTATTTTCTAAGAAGTCTCTTTAGATAACGTACATGATAAGCATGCGACGCATCCAAGTATGCGACGCACTTGTTACTACCCTATAGCATTTAAACTATAATAAAAACGCAATAAATTAATTGATTAATTAAAACTACTTACTATACTCTTCCCCAGACGTCTCAATCACTACCTGATACGTCCTTGCATTATGCCCGGGCTTGCCGTATATACTATATCGCCGAACGCCCGGTCTAACTGACCTTCCTCGACCACCACTTCTCGACGATTCCGCAATTACCTGCGTATCTATATCCATCTAATTAATTACTTGCCTTGCTTAATCTACTATTATTACCCCTCCTTTCTATAGTCGGGTCCTTTTTGCCCTATGGCGCCGGCTTAGTATCTTATTTGCCTGCCGAAGGTCTTAGTTTTCGGCAACTAGTAAGGCAACCTTATGCATAACTGCCTTTATCCCTTTCTTAAGAGACTTCATAGCCTTAATAATTAACTCAGGAGAGCTACTATGATGCCTCCTAATTCGTCTTTCGAGGTATTTAGACTAAGACCTAGCCTTAAGCACGGTCTTTGGGGTCTTTGAGACCCAAGGGGTCATAGGGCTAATTACCTCCTCGGTAGGCATTAGAGTCCGTAGCTGCACATCAAGCTTTAAGACCATACTTTCTAGGTCAAGAGGAATAAGCCCGGCTCCTCTAAAGGCTAACCTGATGTTTCTTTCTATCATAGTAGCCTAATGCGCGGCGTAGAAGGCTAGAAAGAACTCGGTCTTAGAAATATGGGTTATAGAGCATCTAATCAAATGCTTTATTTCTCGACTATAAGCCTACTTAAGCAGATTAAAGTACCCGACGTTAAGAGGCTAAAGTAGATAAGACGAATGAGCCGGCATATAAAGCGTAATAATCTTCTTTTCCTTATAATATCTCTTAAAGTCGACGGAGTAGTGACTTTCGTGGCTATCGAGGATCAGAAGATAATAGGAACTAACTAATCGGTTGCTTATATACCGGTCGAAGTGCTTTAGCCACTCGAGACCGATATTATTATCGGTCCAACCATTTTAGCTTATTGCAATAGCCTAATCGCCCGGGAGGTTACTTTCTTAGTACTAATTGGCGAGGTAATATTAGCCCGCACCGATAATAAACGGCTAGATCGCCTAGCCTTCCGCATTAATCGCCTAAATAACCGTAATCTATTCCCGGTTTCTAGGCTATACTAATTTTAGCTTTCCACGCCTATCTATGCCTATGACGACCATTCCGCTCTAAATTATACCTATTATAAAGCTAATCTTATCAAAGTTCTAGATATTATCTAATCGGATGCTATACTTCGCGATTATATTCGCTACGAGCCTAAACTAATTGCGAATAATAGTTAGATCTTCGCACTTAGCTCTCTAGTAGTCGTATTTACGAAAAAAACGCGTCTTAAGCTCTTAGTATCGCGTAACGAAGTTATAAGCCTAGCGCTTACCGATAGGTAGCGCATCGCGGTCGGCGAGCAGTCGATTAGCTATTTCTTTAATAAAACGCAGTCGCGGGGGAAATCCTCGCGAATCCAGGTTAAGAATAAACTAAATTAGGATCTATTCCTCTAGATTAGATAGTCGGCGTGACTTTAGGATCCAATCGCATCGCGATTAAATGCCTTGTCTACGACGACGTAGCCTTAGCTCAGAGACCTTATAGATCTTTGCAGCGCGTCGGACGCTTAGCTTTGGGTCATTTTGAAGGGCCTGAAGGGCAAGAAGGGTTCTAGCCTCTATATTTAGGTCTGACATAGTTAGTGGTTATGGAATCAATTAATCAAGTAGAAGGTTAGGTATAGGAGGGAAAAGTGCGTCGCATACTTGGATGCGTCGCATGCTTATCATATATGTTAGATTTAAATTATATTTTAATAATTCTATAAAGAAGAGATATAATAAAAAATACCTTCTTTATATTAATATTAATATATTAGGGAAAAAGCCTAAAATACCCCTTTATCTTAATAAAGAAAGATATAATATTATAGGCTTATCCTATAAATAATTTAGATATTATAGGTTTAATAATTTCTCTTAGATTTTTATTATAATATTACTAAGTAAATATTATAAGTTAATTCTATACTTAACCTTAAAGTTAATTAATTATACCTCTAAGCTATTAGATTTTAGCTATAAGTTTAGTAATACTTAGTAATATCTTATTATAAGATAATAGTTCTCTAGTAGAAGATCTAATAAATAAAGTATTCTATTTATTAAAAGATATATTATTTAATAATAGAGGTATTATATAATATAATATAGAAATATATTAAATAAGAAGCTATTAATATATAATATCTAGAGTTTTCTAAGGGAATAAACTAAATATATTAGGTTTACTATTAATAAAGAATCTCGATATTATTATATAATAGGCGGTTATATCTTAGTAATAGGTTAAGAAGGTCTTAAAAATAATTAAAATCTATTAATAGCTTAAGGGCTAAGTATTTATTTAAGGTATAATAAGTATTATATATATATAAGGGGCCTTATATTTATAGAAGTAAGGTCTAAGTAAGGGCCTCGTACTTATAGAAGTAAGGTCTAAGTAAGGGCCTTATACTTATAGAAGTAAGGTCTTTTATAGTTAGTATATTAAGAAGGGAAAATATAAGGAATAAAAATAATATATAATAGGGGATATATTAGGCTATAATACTTAAGGCTTAATTTTAATTAAATTACCTCGAGAGGTAAGTTATAAGATATAAAAGTAGCTCCCTAGAGTTAATTCTAGAAGCTATATAGTCTTCTTCTAAGGGAATAAAGATAGTTATATATAAGGTTATTTTACTTAAGGCTAAGGTTAAAGAATTTAAATAGGTAAATAAGATATTAAGCTAGCGCTAGAGGGCAAAAAGAACCTAACTATAGAAAAGAGGGGTAATAATAATAGAGAAAGGAAGGTAAGTAATTAATTAGATAGATATTAATATATAGGTAATAGCCGAATTATTACGGAGTAGTAGTTAAGGGAGGTTAATACGACTAAGAGTTCGGTATTATAGTATTTATAGTAAGTCCGACTATAATATAAGGACCTATTAGGTAGTAATTAAGATAGCTAGGGAAGAATATAGTAAATAATTTTAATTAATTAAATAATATATAATATTTTTATAGTAATTTCTATCTTAGAGGTTAAGAAAAGTATCTGGTTCGCTTGCTATCCGGCTCGCTATATATGTATGTTATTATTATTAAATTAGGCCCTATACGCAATAAGCTCACATAGAACCCAAAGAAGGAAATTAGCCTAATTAGGTAAGAAGGAGGGGGAGCTACGTATATCATAAGTGACGATGACCTCAGACAGTCAGATTGAACTCAACAAGAACAACAACACAATTGTAGTCATCTTGGTGCCACACGTGCTTTCTGATAGATCTAACCAAGCAAAACTTTTCACGTATCTCATGTACGCAGCGGAGTTTCCCACGCTGCCTTCTTATCCTGCATCTATCTCGTTCATCGCCGCAACTAACATCGCGGCACCAACGCCTCTAAAATTAGACGCCAAACTCGGCAGGCCTTCTTCGTTAAACTTTCCGTAATAACCCGCAACCTAAAACCCAACCCGGCCTCTAGTTAAGCTGGCAATGCTGCTTAGGAAGCAAAGCCGGGGAAGCGGGAGAGGTTCCCAGCTGCATGGCGTGTACGTTTGCTCAGTGGCTGTACGCTAAATTGTGGTTACGAAACCTTTTAATAACTGTGAAGGGCCTCTAGTAACTGTATTCCAGCTATCTAGTCTAGGATGCTATTTATATCAAAGATGAGGAAGAAAGAAAGAAGTTCTCAAGTGCCCCTGAGCTGTGGGACAATTTCCCATCCCTGGCGCGCACGAGCTCAGTACGTCTTGCGGCACAGCCGCAAGGATATGGGCCCTGGCCCGTGACAATAATACTATCGACGGTCACTGGTGTCCAAGGTTATTGTCGCCTGCTTCTATTATAATAAGACTTAAACAACTCAGCACTAGAATACTAAGAGAGTGAGTAAACCCTCCGCGTGGCACTCTCTGGGAGCATCAGCTCGCCGTAGCTGGTCAAAAATTACTAAAACTAGCGGTTAAGCACGACGGTGTACTTTTGATTCTCCCATCATGCATTGGCTGTTATTGTTGGCTGCCCTTGAGTAAGAATTTAGTTGCTGACGACGTAGCATTGGGTTTCTCTCTGCATCTTTCGGTTTCCGAGCAACCCCTCACGGCGTGAATCATTTCGTCGCTGACATGACGTAGGTCCAATTGGCGACTTCTCAACATGTTGCATACTCTTGCAAGGAGGAGCTGTAAGCTTTTTTAAAAATATAACTGCCGGGTAAATCTCAAGGGCCTGAGTGTCGGTAGTTCGAGGGCCGTGTACGCAAGCCAGACATCAAAGCGACAAAAAATAGTACGCCACATGCTTGAAAGGCTTCCCTTCCTGCCATCATAGTGAAGTCAGAACCAGTCCACCTGGATCTAGAGATATCTGCGCCAATAGAATCATAGCACACTGCAACCAGTACCCGGGGCTATGGCCTGCCAAACCAAGTCATCAGTTCAGATCGATCAATATATAAATCCGGCCTCGAAATGTCAAGACATAACGTACCCTCTTGTCAACCCCTACTCATCTTGACTCCAAAATTCACTACCGTCTATTTACATACATCACTTGCCCAAACCATAAGGCACAACCAACTACACAGTTCGTTACACTGGCCCACTCACCACTCGCCAATATGCACTTCTCTCTCACTGCCCTCGTTCTCCTCCTCGTCTCCCCTGCCCTGGCTGAACCTCAGGGCAGTGGCAGCCACGGCAAAGGTAAAGATAGCGCAGACATCTTCCCGGACTTCAATCGCTACTCCGACTGGGCGATCTGCAAGGGACAGATCACCAAGACCCGCTTTCCGAAGCTGCAGGCCCCAAACAACGAAGGTGGCTGTGTCCGTTACTACCAGGGCATCGACATGACCGGCGTCGTCACGGAGCAACACCTCTTTTTCCCCAGAGTCAAAAATGCCTGTGACTGCGCCGCAAAGTGCCTAGAGCGGCCGAACACTTGCACCAACTGGGTGTGGAAGAACATCTTCGACCCAAAACGAGATGGCGGCAAGAGATCCTGCACTCTGTACAGCAGCCCCAACCTGCCGACCGGCGTGAAGCTCAAGTACGATCTGAGACGCAGCAAGGGTTTCCAAGTCTTGTTGAATGCGAACAACCCGCAGATGGGAGGCCCTGCGCCCTTTACCTTCTTGGACAAGAACATGAAGAAGCGGGATAGGTTTGGAGTTTCTGGCTTTATCACGCAGGATCCGGATGGAGGGCAGTACTGCTAGGAGGTTAGACCAGAGAGGGCGAGGGCTATATTCGCCTTGGGATTGAATGAGGCGGGGATGGTTCGGCTAGGTTACGTGGGTTATTGAAACCGTATCGCTCCAAGGATAGCTCTATATACCGGTCAGACTGCTTGGGTAATTCTTTTAAATTATCTTTCTTTCCTCCTGCTTCGCGGCACTAACTTCGAATGGTCGCATTCGTTACAGCCAGGTGTTAGAGATACAAGGTAATAGGTCGACGAGAAGAGACAATCCAGAGAGCTCAGGTAACCATATTTAAAGTATCCCACGAACTTATCACTACCATATAATACCTACCTACCGGTAATACCTACCTATTAATAAATAAATAATAAATTTCCCTATATAAAATACCTAATTTTATTTATATAATACTTTATTTAAAAAAAAGATTTTTTTATAAGAAAATATTTATTATATTAAGAATTATATAAAATTTAATATTTTAATAATATTTTAATAATAATATATATAATATAATTAACGTACTTGATAAGCAAGTGTCTCATGCAAGTAAGTGTCTCAAAAATCCCTCAACTTTTATTATTACCATTTGATCAATTGATTCCTAACCACCCAGCATGTCATAGTCTAATTATGAAGCTAGAATGCTTCTTGCTCTTCATGCCCTTTAAAACAACCCGAGTTTAAGTCTTTGGCGCGCCGCAAGCATATACATAGTCTCCTGGAAGACCCTTGGCCGCCGGCAGAAGGGCATCTAATCTCGACGCGATACTATCTAGAAATCACGTCGGCTATCTGATCTAGAGGAGTAGATCCTTATTTACTTTATTCTTGACCTAGATTCGCGAGGATTTCCCCCACGGCTACGTGGTGTGAAAGAAATGGCTGATTAATTGCTTGCTGACCGCGACGCGCTACTAGTTGGCACGCGTTGGGCTTATAACTTCGTTAAGCGGCACCTAGACCTTAAGACGCGTTTCTTTCGTAAATATGACTACTAGAGAGCTAAGTGCGAAGATCTAACTATTATCCGCGATTGGTTTCGGCTTGTGGCGAATATAATCGCGAAGTATGGCATCTGATTAGATGATATCTATAACTTTGACGAGACTGGCTTTCTTATGGGTATGATTGTAAGCGGAATGGTTGTCATAGGTGTAGAAAGGCGTTTAAAGCCGAAATCAGTGTAGCCTGGAAACCGGGAATGGATTATGGTTATTTAGGCGATTAATGCGGAAGGCTGGGCGATCTAGCCGTTTATTATCGGTGCGGGCCAATACCACCTCGCTAACTGGTACCGGGATAGTAACCTCCCGGGCGATTGGGCTATTGCAACGACCTAAAATGGCTGGACCGATAACGAGACCGGTCTCGAGTGGCTAAAGCACTTTGACCGGTGTATAGCCAAGCGATCAAATAGTCGCTATTGTCTTTTGATCCTTGATGGCCATGAAAGCCACTACTCTATCGAATTCGAGAGATATTGCGAGGAGAAGAAGATTATCCGGCTTTATATGCCACCTCATTTATCTCATCTACTCTAGCCCCTTGACGTTGGGTGCTTTAGTATGCTGAAGAAGGCTTATAGTCGAGAAATAGAGCGTTTGATTAGATGCTCTATTACCTACGTTTCAAAGACCGAGTTCTTTCTGGCCTTCTACGCCGCACACGAGGCTACTATGACGGAAAGAAATATCAGGGGTATATTCAAAGGAGCCGGGCTTGTTCCTCTGGACCCGGAAAATGTGATCTCGAAGCTTAATGTGTAGCTACGGACGCCAATGCCGGTTGAGGAGGCAGCTGAACCGTCGACCCCTTGGGCTTCAAAGACCCCAAAGACCATGCTTAAGGCTAGATCTTAGTCTGAATACCTCGAAAGACGAATTAGAAGGCACCAGAGTAGCTCCCTAGAGTTAATTTTAGAGGCTCTTCAGAGTCTTGCGAAGGGGACAAAGGCTGTTATGCATCGGGTTGCCTTATTGACCGCTGAGAACAAAGACCTTCGAGAGGCGAATAAGATATTAAGCCGGCGCCGGAGGGCAAAAAGGACTAGACTGCAGAAAAGAGGAGTAATGACGGTAGAGGAAGGAAGGCAAGCAATTGATCAAATGGATATAGATGCGCAGGTAGTGGCCGAATCGTCGAGGAGTGGTGGTCGAGCGAGGTCGGTCGGACCGGGTATTCGGCGCTATGGTGTTTGCGGCAAGCCCGGGCATAATGCAAGGACCTATTAGGTAGTGATTAAGACGTCTGGGGAAGAGTATAGTGAGTAGCTTTAATTGATTAAATGGTTTGTGGTGTTTTTATTGCGATTTCTATTTTAAGGGTTAGGATTTTTGAGACACTTGCTTGCATGAGATACTTGCTTATCAAGTACGTTATATAGTATTAATATAAAATATTTTAAAATACCTTTTTTATTATTTAATTTCTTTAAAGCTTTATTTAGAATTTTTTTATTTTTATTTTTTTTTAATTGCCTTAAATATATTTTAATTATTTTTTTTAAGGGATAATATTATCTAAGCTATATTAGATATTATAAATAATAATTTCTCCTAGAATTAAGCTACCTAGAAAAATAATATATCTTAAATTATTTTTTTTAATTAATTAAGAGGCCTATTATTAAGATCCAAGGTTATTTAACTTACTTAGCTTTTATTTAAGTTAAAAGAATTTAAATTAATTACTTAGATACTTTAATAAAAGGCCTTAGGCTATGCTCCTTTTTATAATTAAGTTTATGCTATTATTACTATTATAATAATTATAAGGTCTCTAAGGGATAAACTAATTATATAGGTTTATATTAATATTAGATTATATTATTTATAATTTAGTATATTATTACCTTAGAGTAGGGATTATATTATCTTAATTAATATCTTAGTAATTTTAATAATAAGGCGCTATTATTATATTAAGGAAAATTACTTATCTAGGAAGATAAAAAACCTCGGTTAGAATTAAATTATTTCCTCTAATTAGCTCTAAAACCCCTCGCCGGCTAGGCTTAATTAAGGTAACTTAATTTAGTAAGGTTTATACTATCTCGTGACCTATCACGTGATTAATTATATAACCCTAATTTCCTCTAGTTATATATATGCCTCGCTAGGCCCTGCCTTATAGCATAGATTAGGTAATTATCTCGGTTAGTAGTCGGTTATATGACCTAAAGTATATAATATGGACTGGGTTATTATTAGTGCGCTCCCTCGGTGGGAGCGGGCCTCGGGCTCGGGTCGGTTAGCTGTAGGGTAGGTTAGTGGCTGGGTGGGTCTCGTAGCGGCGGTCGGTAATTTTAATAGTAATTTTAATAGGGTTTAGATTATATTATATAGTCTTAAATAGGTAATATAAATTATATCTAGTAATATATTTAAAGGTATTAAATATAACTAAGTTATATTATGTAAAAGTCCTTATACTAAAAAGGTCTTTTATAAATAAAATTCTAGAAAAATAAGCTTATAAGATATAAGCCTAGGATTTTATTACCCTATACTTTAGCTTATGCGCTTTTCTATAGACTGCTTACCTAAGATATATCTGCTTAGATAAGCAAGATATAAGGGAGTATTAATATTGCCCTTTCTGGGCTTATTTCCCTTTTAGGAAGGTCACGTGATCTCGGACTTAGGACTTTATTAAAAGCCCGTTAATGCCGTTAAATCCGTGTCCCTCTATAGGGTATTTCCTATCTGGTTTTAAATATCCTAGTTTAAAACCCTATAGGTTTTAATCTCTATTATGCTATAACTCGGCTTCTAGTTATCCGTTACTAGTAAAACTAACTGCGTTTTAAAGCCCGGAATTCGGGCTATCTGACGATATAACTTTTATCCGAATCGGGCTAATAGATTCCGAGCAATCCTCTATATAAGCTATAAGCCCTCTCTTAGAATTAGTTCCTTAGATCTTTAACATATACAACCAATATAATACTAATAAGAAGCTGGTTTCTTCTTATCAACCTTATCTATCCTCCTTCTTACTTTGCCTACCCTATATGTCTTCTTATCTAGTCTCTTAACTATATATAAAGACTGATTCCTCTGCCTATTTACCTCCTATCTAAGTTATCTACCCTATAGTCTTTGAAGACTAT